GGGGGGGGGGGGGGGGGGGGGGGGGGGGGGGGGGGGGGGGGGGGGGGGGGGGGGGGGGGGGGGGGGGCGGGACGCATAGCCGTGCATGCCGTAGTTCGTCAGAGTGGATTGACCTCACTTCCCTGCAAAGCCGGAACCGATCACGCCGGCTTCTTACCGAACCAGGCTCTCTCACATGACATCACCAAGCGCGAAGGACCGTGAGATATTCGGCGAGTCGCATGGAGGGGCGGGGGTGAAGGTGGGTACAATTTGCTGCTTTCCTTCGGCGGGGGGGGGGAGACCGCAAGAATCGTCCCCTCGCTGTTGTCATTTACCTTTTGTACTCCCAGATTTGTTACTTGTGTCTTGGAGTACAAAAGCGAATTTTGGCACCTTCCTGTCGACGAGCTGAGCTTTGGTCACATCTAAGAGCTGATGACAGCTGTTCGCAATCAGGAGGATGACATCATGTTTGGCTCCGAAAACTACAGCAGTACACACGGATGATTAAACATCTCTTGCTACAGCTTGGTTCGATCAGGCGCTGTCGTCAGATGACAAGGGACGACAAGAACAGCCCCACATCACGCCGCGTTGCTTGTGCGACGAACAAACACCAGCCATTTAACGTTGAACTTCGAAATGCACCACAACACGACAGGGGTCTATAGTTGTCCAATCCAACATTACTTGATCGGGCGGCTAGCGCTCTCGCTAGAGTCTACGACACCAGGCATACCTGGCCGTCTTTTGCCTCTTGGCCAATCGCTTGAGTCGCCGTCGCTCCCGCTTCGCGCTGCCGTCGTCCACCTTTCGCTTTGGTTTCTTGAAGGCGCTCGTGTCCGTGCTAGACGTGAGGTTTTTCTTGAACATGAGCTGGTGCAGCTCGGCTGGGTCTCCGGGCACCTGTTCGGTTGAAACGACAACGATATCATATTGCGCACTAGTCGGTGTAGACGACGGCCATAGTGCACTGAGATGTAGTTGGTTTTATCATGTATCACAACGCTGCTGATGGGCGTTTCGCGTATCGAAGGCTTATTGGAGTCTCTGACCCTTCACTAGAAAAGTCAGCGCACCCCACGACTTCGTTCTCGGATGGGATGGGGGCGAGGGGGGGGGGTACTCATAGTCGTGCATGCCGTAGTCGTTAGACCATTGACCTCGCATCCCTACAAAGCCGGGACGGAGCACGCCGGGTTCTCACCGGACCAGGCTCTCACATCACCAAGCGGGGACCTTCTTTATTTTCAACACTACCCTGTGTTGAGTGCTACCAAGATGATTCCAAGCACCGGGGAAACTGGTCGCGGGCGGTCTGGTGTGGAGTATCGCCCACCGCTGTCTAAACATCCCGCACTGCTGTGCCACCCGTCTAAATGCGTGCCAACCACACGTCAGGAAGAAAGGCGGCAACAAGAGTGGAGTGTGGATGTGTTTGTCCCATTTCTTGTGGCGGCAGTCTACACATCTCTTCGGGTAAAGTTCGGCATATCAGCGGGGGTCATACAGGAGGAGGTCACACTGGAGCCACTATTTATTATCAATTTTTCAATAATTGGGCCACCTCTGCTCCTGCGGTACTTGGCTTAGCAGTAATCGCGAGAAGGGTTCAAGAGTAGTTCCTACTTTGTAGTTCTTTCCGGATACGGAAACAACATGAAAACAACGCCGAAATGCTGACCGCGTCTCAACGAAGGGGAGGGAGGGCGCTTGCTGTGTGTCGAAAGGGATGCTTGGTCAATGGCCACATGATGAAGGTAGGCAATAACTATTGTACCAACCCCCCCGGGGTCTGCGTCCTCACCATTGCGCGAGTCTCCCGCCACAGTTCTCGGAGCGACTTGCAGCAACCATGCCTCACGGCCCGCCCTTCGAACTCCGTGTCTCCCCCATAAACCTGCCGCATCGAGAATGGGGAGACAAAGTAAAGAACCAGAGCAACCACGCGACCAAACCGAGCGAAGAGGAGGATGACGATGAAAAATACACCAGCAACAGCAGAGACCAACAGCAAACACAGCACCCACATACAAAGGCGCGCGCCACAAAAAAAAAATTCCCGCACACCTACCCGACACTCTTTCCCCCCGCCGGGAGGGGGGGGGGGGGGGGGGGGGG